GTAGATGATAGATTACATGTGCATAGAGCTCTGCAGGCAATAAGTAACACTTGGGGTTGTGCTTGGTAGGTTAACTAGAAAAGACGATTACACACAGCATAATTAATGACCATCACACTGTTGAGATTGTTCTGCACTCTATTACAGTTGAAGGGTCAAATGATGTACACGGGTACATTCAGAGGCGAAATGTTGAAAGACTTTGCTGTCGCTGGCTAAAATCCTTCAGTTCTGTACAATATGTGACCTGCTACATGTATATGCATGTGAAATGGGCAGCAAGTTACCAGTGCCACTTTTTGGTGCAGAACTATCAGCTTTTAAGATCATCAGGTTTCATAACTCGCAAGAAACTCCTTTAGAGGTTTCAATACCAAGAAAGCATCGTGGGACTTATAAGATTATAAAGTATAATTTGATGTGATAGGATCTTCAACAATCCTAATTTTCACTGTACAAGAGCTCATGAAGCTTTACCATGCAAGTTTGGCAGGAAGGGACCACAAGACGGCTACATGTAATAGTCTCTCGCTTTAATACTGTGGGTCTTTCTATGGAAATTTTTTTCTCTTTATTATGGCAAACTCAAACTAATGCACCAAAATGGTGTCAAACAAAGGTCTATTAACTTTCTACAGGGGTTGATTGCATGCATGCATGCAAAGGCCTCAGGAATGTTCACACATGAGAGACATGTACACTATGTATTTCAGGTCTATGGATCTTTGCAAAAAAGTTGATCAACTGATGCTTTGTTGTCTAAATAAATAAACAAAACCTGAATTACTATTGTGTACAAATAAATTCACAATTAAATTCGCATTCCACTACTATGGATTGTATTTGACTCAGTTGCTGCGATTTGTATACTTCGACCACACAAACATAAACTTCAGGATACGCAGGAAATCACTGTCTACACGGTATGTACTTTTTGTATATATTTCCATAAAAGGAGGGATGATATGAGTCACATTGTTCATGTACATGTATCAGTAGACCTACATGTACACAGAAGCAACCATGGAAGTAACGGTACACTGTACTTGTAGGAAAAAGCCTCCGTGGAAGCAACTGAATGATTCACAGCACACAGGCAACCAACAGTGTGAAAACATCCATACATGCACTGAGGACATACATGTACGTGTTCCTACATGGTGCTCTATGGTGAGACACAATACTTAAGTTCTGTACAATTGCTGAAGTTTACCTTGTGATGTTGTCCATGGGGTTTTGTACATATATGTGCTTGGGACAAAGGGAGAGGGTGCACCAGTGATGCACAGGGTACCAGTCACCCTAAAGGTGAACAAAAACCAGGAACACTGCACATTTTGTTAAACATTGGGTACATGTATAATCCTTCATCGAAGGACCCAATTTCAAGTTCTTCTGAAAGTTATCTGCCAAAATTGGTTTCAAATTTTTCCTTTTACAACCATCTTTATCACTATGTAAATTTGCAAAATGCTACATAATCAATTGCTTAATCTGTTAAGTTCTATAACATGTTAATCATTTGCTTGCTGTGCTCACACCTGGTGAGGAACTTTGTGTGGGTATAAATGCCAAGGTCCAAGGGTAAATACACAATGAGAAACAACATAAAACTATAATTGTTGATTCTTCTCTTGATGAATTGAAACAGATCACAAAAGTCACAAGAAAAATGCTGCCTCAATGCCATCGTGATATAAAGTATAACTGCATAAAAATTGAACAAAACTATAGAAACTTTATGATGAAAATGGGTTTCAAAATTCTTTTCTTCCTTTTTTTTCAGGTTCAAAATCTTCAAAATTTACATTACACATATGCAATTTGTCAGGAGTCACACAAATGTTTCTATGTAAAATATTGAATCTCGGTAATACTAGAACTTTAAATACAAGATTCTCTTTATAAATCAAAAAAATTTTAAGCCCCAATCCTTTGTTATTGTTTTCACACCTGATAATACAAGGTTGCTGGTATATAACAAGGTACTTGGCCCTGTCAGAAGGACTTATTACAAAGGTTCAACTGTATATGAATAGAACAGAACTCAAGTTTCATGGCTGACTGTAAATGTCAATGCAAAGGGCTGTGGAATTAAGATTAGCACTCAGCATTTCAATGAACCATTTTAGTATTTCAAAAAGCCAAGGTCTTTCAGGAAAACATACCTTTGTGAGTCAGCATATTGCTGCACTAACAAGACAGACTCGCAAGAGTGTAGCTGTTTACAAACAGCCTTGCATTGAGCATGCGCTGTTGGAATATCAAAATGGCTTATTCACTTCTGGCATCTTTTACTTTTACAGTGGTAACCTCTGACATTATTTCATAATAAAAGAAAAACACTACCTTGCTTTAGCTCTGCTTCATGCAGTTTTGCAAATATAAAGCTATACATAATTTAAACCAACATAAACTGTGCACCACCATCAGGTTTAGCATGTTTAGAGCTCAGGCCATTTAAATTATTAATCTAGTCATGCATTCTAGGCACCATTCGCGCTTTGCACGCTGCCACCATAGGCATGGAGAGCCTTGAACTGGCAGCTTGTACAACCGCGTCAGAATTGCTTTGTCCAATCACATGGTAAAGAACTAACACAGCACGCGCAAAATTACATAAGCAAAATACACAGGAAGCACCGAACCGGCTTTATTTATTGTGTAAAGCTGTCAGATCAAGGCTCTGCATGCCAATGGTGGCAGCATGCAAAGAGTGAATACAGTACATATCTGACATTATGGCTTACAGCCCCCAATTCACTTTGGATCATATGAAGAAGCTGAATTACAAAATTCAAAATATAAATTCCCCTCCTGCATGTCCAGACCAATTTTGTTCCAGACTGAGTGACGTGATAAATGGCCTGAAGAGACTGTGTCATGTATTCAAACATTTGTGATCAAAAAGTGTTTATTTCTGTAAAGGCTAAATATAATGAAATAGCCTAAATCCTGGCAAATGACAGTGGGGTATCCTGATGTGAGGCCAAACTCAAGCAAATCATGGTCATGCTGGAACTGTTTTAGCCCTAACCCTCAAGGATGTAAAATCATAGTGAAATTGGAGGATAAGCCAAGACGAAGTTTCGGGCGGGCAAGGAAATGTGGGATAAAAATTGGATGAGCAAACACACGTGGCATAGCCAGCGGTACAGTATAGCATAGACCATACACCTGGAGGAGAAAATTATCCAGGTCTATGCATACACCTGGCGTATGAATGAGTGAGGTTTAATTCATTTTTAACTTTCTGCAGTCAACATGAATTTTTTACAAGAAATATTTAGGGGATTCTTTAGTCACCTTTCATATATCCTAAAAATGCCCAGGCATATCGTAGAACATCTTTTACTTTTGAAGAAATCCAAACCAGAATGCAGGGTTTCCCCAGGGGTACTGATATGTGTGAGGTGGTCCCACAAATTTTGCCAAAATTCTAGTTCCTAAAACAAAATCAAATGTTTTCAACATGGCCTAAAATAAATTCTGAGTAGTCTACTAGTATATTTACTCAAAACTGTCCCTCTAAAATTAATCAATGTTGTGTTCTGTACCCCTCTGTACCATTCTGAACAATTTACAACTGATCTGTTGCAAAATATCTAAGTTCTTTTGCTTTTTCCTTCAAGTTCCATGTCTGTCTATTTCAAGTGTGAGGGAGTAAAATCAACAGAAGCCTGAGGTGGTCACTCAAATCAGTGAGGTGAGTCACCTCACAGTTGAAAAGGCAGGGGAAACCCTGCCAGAATGGCAAGTCAAAAAACTACTAGGTGCAAACATGTGCATTGCTGTCAAGCGGAATGGTTTGTTTATCCAAAAAGGGTCAATAAGGCCAGCTGGCACGTGTACGACTGAAATACCGAATTGGCTCATAGGGAACTGCTGTTGGAAGTACCGGTTGCCGGTACAAGGCCAACAGCTCAAGATCAGAGTAAGTTAACATTTCAATCTATTTGAATTCAAAGACCATTGAAATCAATTCAAGTTTGATCAGTTAGCACGGTTGGTGACAAACTCTATCTGTGACAAAACATTACAATAGGCCGATACGGCTAGGCCTAGATAAACTCGTAGGGCCGCCTGTATGTGGTCACACCATGGAGGAAGTCCCCTCCTTCCTCCAAGGTCACATTCAGCTGCTCAGTGTGACTGGGTGACTTGGTGACAATCACCCGTCATGCCCGTGATTCGTGAACAAGATTCTACACAGTTTAGAATATCAGATACAAACCTTGTTTTCGAACAGGCATATTTTCCAAGGTACACGCAGAGCGTAATTCCAAGGTTAATCAACGCTAAACACGTCCAGTTCCGGTTGGCTTCTCACCAGTTGCGATGCACACACCGCGCTACACAGCTTACGCCGGCCCGTAGGCGCTCCCACACCGTACCGTTCTGATTGGAAACACGACTGCCAGCCTAACTTTTCCGTAAACGCCCAACTTGTCCCGCAAAATCCACCTCCTAAGGTAACTACAGACACAAGTAACGGGGAAAATCCTCGACACGGCAGGCTAGGTGATAAACCTTGGTTGTGCACCTCAACACAGTCCGAATTCGACAGATTTGGGTGAGCTAGTGAAGTTTTTCTAGCGTTTTCGAAGCAGTTCAAGCCTCCACACGGCAAAATGGCGACCTCGGTTGACCGCGCGTCTCACACTTGATCACGTGACGTAAATGACCTACTAACCTTTGACCTACATAACATGCTTTGGCGCATGGCGTGTACTGTAGTACAAATTAAGCTCGTGTGTTGGATAGGTAGGCCATGGTTTTCCTTTTCTCGTGTTCATTCGGCACAATTTCAAAATATCCCACCACTCAGCTAGTCATTCACCTACGTGGGAGCGGGTTAGCGTAGTGGTTCTTTCCTCGCTTTGCACCGGCAATGATTGGCCTGGGTATGCATGGGTTCGAGTCCCGGCTTGACCCAGCCTGGCTTTGGTTTCCAGTCCATACTCGCTCTCGCAGGTTTTCTCCGGGTACTCTGGTTTCCTCCTGCCTCTTCCGGACCTTCTTCCTAAACGAGAAGGGAACCCCATCAGAAATAAGTTGAAAAACTTTCATTGGTTATCCTGGTATTTGTGGTAATACCGAATAAATCCAATCCAACCCTACTCCACCTCGTTTCCATATACGCGGATATGGAGTCACGCTTGACTGGTCACTCACATAGCTCCATCTCAGTATCTGCCCGGCGCCTGCCACTTCCCGGAATTTTGGTTGGACGTAGGCCTAATTACATTACTGCGTATCCCTGTATCCACTCCCTGGGATCCACATTGGACCTAGACTTTTTCCACCTTCCCCATTCAGTTTATGTTACATGTCATAATACAGTTTACATTACTCGACCCAACATTCCTTCGGAGGTACCCCCAGAACTGTGGGTCTGACGGCCGCTCCCGAGTGGAGCGGATGTCGGACTCCCTAGTTCTGGGGGTACTACAGACCCCACACTTCGGGGGTACCTTGGAGGCTGTCTTTGTAGCCCCATATCCCTGTAATCACTCCCAGCCCAGGGACCCACATTGGACTTTTGACCTTCCACTGATGAGTTGTGTATGATAGAAGTGGATGCTTTGTTCTCTAAAATGACTTGAATGCTCCACACAGCTACGTGCTGTGATATTGGAAGGAAAATTTCTTAAGGCAGTGTAAGGGAAGGTAGGGCCCTTGCCTGGAGCTTGGTCAACCTCCAATGCATAGCAAACAGACTTCATCATTCAATCCACTGCGTAGCCATTGAACTTTAGGGGGTATTTTTGCATGGCGGGATATTCTGCAGTTACTTGCTTTATTACAGTGACTACGGGTTTGACCCTTTTCTGGGTGTTCATTACCTTTAGCACCCTGTTCCTGTAATAAGGCAACAAATTCTACTTTATGGAAACAACTTACATGTCTAAACAAGTAGTTGGTGATGTCATCTTTCATATCAGAAAGAAAAGAGTACAGGGCTTTTGGTTTTTGAGGGGCTCTTTGGGGTAAAACGGCAGCATACATGACTGCCCCAGAGAGCTTTGAACGACGACCAATTAACAAATGTTGTCTGGTTCCTTGACCTGGATGGAGATTAGTTTGGGTGAATGCACAGTGCCTGAGTCGGGTAATCAGACGAGAAACAAAATAGCGTGATCCGTCTGAGCAGTTGTCTTTTTCCAAACTTGTGTTAGAAATGTGTTGTTTTCTTGCTTAAATATATATTGTCAAAATTACCCTAAACTAGGTCCATGAGGATTGAGTAATGGACCCTTTAGGGTGCATTCCACCAAATCATCGTATTTCTGCACATAAGCTCATTAATATTTTGTGATCCCACAGGATTTTTCCAATGAGACAGACCATAATCAGGAGGGATCATAGAAATTTTTCTATAAATCTCAAATTTGGAACTGCTAGTTTCCAGTTTGGGGTATTTCTTTCACAAAAAGCCCCAAATTGCAGGCCTATTTTGGATAGAGGTGGGCGGCTACATTCAGAAATGAGTGCTTAGTTTTACTGCTATTTCGGGGGTATCTTCCAGGAAAGGCGAATAAAAAATATTCGTGGCTAACCCCAATGAAATTGAAACGAAAAGTGATCTTCTGGCCATGATTTTGAATTTCCAGTGAAAAAATGGAGGCCAGCCTCTTCACAAGAGTCAACAGGTGGTGCTATTTCGGTCCGATTTGGTACTCTTTTCAATGGGCGTGTATTTGGTGTACTGCAACCTGTAAGTCAAAATGTAAGATGTTAGTTTGAGAAAGTGGACTTTGTTTCCTTATCATCGGAACAGGGTACTAAAGGTAATGAACACCGTTTTCTGAGTGTCACCATGGCCGTATCAAGCAGAGAAGCAGCGTCTATGGTGATGAAGCAAGCCTCAAGCCAACCGGACATACCTGAAGAGCAGATGGCTGTGGGAGAATATTTAACAGCTTCAGAGGCACTAAATAAACAACTGGAGCAATTGAAGAAACTTCCAGACAGTAAAAAGTATGTCAGTGTTTTTTTGCACAGTTTTGTCCCGTAGTCCCCCCCCTATGATCCAAGATGTGGGAGTGTGTCCTTTGTGGCAAAATCCCATACATAGGCATGGTGGGTATGGTATTGTGGAGCTGATCATCATGATCACGTCATCAGGAAATTGAACATAACTTTTTTGGGTAGGGCTTTGAAATCGGTAGGCTTACTCACAAACAAAGGTAACGCAGCTATGTTTTGTCATTTCAGGCAATCAATATTTCTACTTGTGCTAATGATTCTCATAATACCAGATTTCCTTTTTACTTGCTTTGTCCAGATGGGCGTTTGGTTATGGATCTCTCATTCTCTCCATCAACGCTGGTCTAGTTGGAGTGATAGGCAACTCTTTCTTCCGTCGCATGTTGATGGTTCGTAAGGGTTTGTTTCTGACCAGCATACCAAGTGCACTGATGCCTGGACTCCTTATTGGTCCAATCTACATGAAGTGTGTCACGTACCCAATACTGTTGAATGACTTGAACTGTGCTGTGTGTGCCGATATACGAGGTGGATTGATCAACTTCCTCCTTGGTAAGAACAGGAGAAGTTTGCTAATTGATCATTGGAAAACTTGAGAGACTTGATATGTTCTCCTTGATTTGTCACTGTTTGTGACAGTATATGCATTTGGAACTGTACATGTTCACAGCCACTTGCTCTTAAATTGAACTTGCTATCAATGAGCAGTGAGAGGAGAATTGTTGAAAGTTTGAAACAAATGTTAAAGAATTCTTCAAATGAAGCAAAGAAATTTTGATGAAAGAGTCTGAATTGTGAAATATTTCAAAAAAGGACTGTAATTGAAAGGTTTTGCCTTTGCCTTTGGCAAATTACAGGATGGAGCAAGCTAAGGTACCCAATTGAATCTAACAAAAGTTATTCTTCCAAGTTTCTTACCTTTTCCTCATCTGTATTTGTATCACCAGGGACCGCGTACCCCATCTTTTTGGCAGCCCCTCTCAGTGCAGCCTTAGCCTATCGATATGACACCGTCAAGCTACCTGCCTTGTCCTATAAAAACTTTGACCAAAGGCAATTTGTTGATTTCTGGAGGAGCAAGGTTCGATACTTCAAGGGACAGTTCATCACCATAGCGATTTTCCAGACATGCTTTGGTATGTTTATTGCCGGTTCTCAGATGCAAGTCGCCCGGCAAGAACTTACTCGGAAATTCACCAAAGTAGACCATTGAGAGGCGCATGTTTCATGGAGTCTCTTGAAAGTAGTGAATGGTGTACATTTACATGTACAACGGCAATAGATGGTACAGAGGATATATCAGCTCTCAGATGTCAAAGGTCAAACCATTGCTACTAATGTGAGGGTGATGTTGAGGGTAAAGTTAAATTTACCTGACAAGTGGACAGATCGTTGTTTGTTTGATGACAGATTCTGACGGGAAAGCTGTCTCTTCCCTTACCCCAGGGTCATTATTTTTATCACTGTCTATTCTCCTTTCCACTGCCTTTGCACAGTATGCTATATTTGGAGCAAAAACGACGTTAGGAACACACCCCACACAAGCACTCACTGGAGCTGCTTGATACATTTGAAGCAAGATATGGGATGGAGAGCAACCACCCCCCCACCTTTGTGTTGGTGATTGTTTGATAGAAATCTTAGGAATTCTTTTCAGATATCTAGGGGGGACGTGTCAGGTAACAATAGTCTAGAGCGTGTATAGAGATTGGACATGTATGGGGGTGCCCCTTTGTCCCATGTCTTGCTGGGTATAGCTTTAAATGTTTTATGAATTTAAATTGGCCAAATATGTGTTATTTTATTCAAGACAGTTTCTTAAAAAAGCTAGATCCTCAAAATAAACCTGTGACCTTGCTTTGTTGTTTGTTGTTTGTATGCAGATTTCAGCAACTCTTTTTTGAATGTGTGTTTTTTACTTTCTCTTTGTCAATCTTTGTGTCCGGTAAATCGTGTCAGGTTTTAGGGAAATGTCACAGGACGAAGAAATAACAGCCATTGATGCATGTTGTTAGAGTATTATGTAAACTCCTGTGCACAGTTTACAGAAACTTGCTGATATTAGAAAACTCAGCTCTGCATTTATCTAAAATTGCAAATTAAGGATTCCCAACATTTACCGTTTTTATGTTTTTTTTTAAAGTTATACCTTTATTAAAGGGTCTTGTCCTATAGTGTTGATTATTATGTACACATCAGTTATTCGTTCATCTTTGTTCATCTTCACAGCCTCCAATTCAATCCATTGATGGCAATGTGCATCATCACCGCTTGTTCAAAGTTTTGAAAATTTAATAAAATTGAATTAAAGGTGATTGAAAGTGGATTATTTTCAAAGCTTTTTATTCAGCAAATAAAACGATTTTATGAAATTGATGATTCGTTAAGTCACTGACCATGAAGATGGATCGGATTATTTGTTTAATTTCAGTTTCCCGTTGATGGCGCTAGACAAGCAACTTTGTACATGTGGAAGTAAATATTAGGCAACGGAGAGGGCGCTATACAGCTTTCCGTGGCAGAACGTTGCGTGTGTGAACAAGACTTGCGTACGACGTGCGCCGTCGGCGAGCAGTCAAAGAAGAAAAACATTTACAGAGATGGTGGAAGAAAAAATGACCTTCCCAAAGAAATTGAGAAAATGTTCTGCAAATGCAGTTAATGTTCGTGTGGCATTTCGTGGGTGGTGCATGCATCTTCCCCTCTTTGCAAAATATTTCACGATTTGGGCGATTTTTACGCTACAATTATAGTGGCGTAAAAGACCCTTTCGCCTCAATTCCCAATCTCTTTGGATACCTGTTCCACTCACTTTCCCCAGTCACGGATACAAATCCATGGCCTTGATTTTGACCACACGACATCCTTGATTCATGCGTTTTTCCTTTATTGTATTCATTTGTTCAATTATTAGTCGCTCCTAAGGTTGAAATCGTCGATGACCTAATTCGTAGAATAAAACTGGCCTCACAGATCTTTCGTGTGCGCGTCCTTGGTGTTGTGAATGGTGTGTGTCTTTAGTTCCTAACAGCAAAAGTCGTACTCTGTTGCCCGTCCACGTTATGCGCGCTCGTTGGCCGCACTTCGCAATGAAAAAAGCAGGATTTGATTCGCAAAGACGTGATGGGTTTCCTGATCTACCTCATATTGTGTGAATATATCTTTCAAACTGACAAAAAAATTGCTCAAAGCTGAGCTGAACAGATGGGAGGGGTACAACTATTCACCATTTGATGTAATCGAGAGATTGAGAGTTTGTCTTGAGTTTACCGAATGATGAGTCAAAACGGATAGCAGCTTCACCTGTGTGAGCGGTGTCAAATTTGTCCTAATCCTTCGGATGCGGCAAATTAATGCTTTTCGAGATGACTTAGCTTTACAACAATTTGCTGTTATTGTGAGCGATCGATCATTTCGCACGAGGTCATGGCCTATTTTTGTTAGGTTAATAACGTTTGGCAGATGCATTAGTTAGGTCAAACGTATCCTCCGTGAAATTCAATGATTTCCTGGTTAACGAGGTCACTGCTTACCTTGACAGAGGTCAACAATAGTTACTTGATACAATGCACAAACGCGAAGTTCGTTTCTATTTCCTCTTCCAGCGATCTGCTTGAGAGTCGTATTATAGTGGTACAATCAGAATTTATTGACAGAGCTGGTTGGTACCGGCATAATCATCAGCAGGAAGGAATTGTTTTTCACACAGGTCTAACAGGTGACGCAGCAAACTACCTGTTTTTACGTACTGTGGTCAAGGGACAGTTTAAAACTGCACGTATTTGACAGTTGACTGGCAAGCTTGGTTAAAGATGGTGCGGAGAACTTGATCGCGAGATTTACACACAGTCAATCTTTTCTGCTTCGCAACTGTAGACAACAACGCAGGTTTCATCTCTGCCTCCAGCCACATTGCAATAGATTTGTAGCTGGTAGGCGTAATCGTGCCTCAATATTGCAATATAATGGGTATCCTGGCGCAGTATTTGATGTTCATCTTCACTTGCTCTCCCAACCTCCAAGCTTCACTCCTCTTCGTCATCATTCTTCTGGCCGTGCGATGGCTGTTACGCAGCCCGGACAACCTGCCCCCAGGCCCGGTAGGTTGGCCTGTCGTTGGGTCGGCGCTACAGCTCAAGGGCCAGCCCCTTCACGAAGCTTTCACCATTTTGGCCAAACAGTATGGAAGTATCTTTAGCCTTTATCTCGGCACTTCCTTGGTGGTTGTACTCAACGATGCTATTTCTATCCAAGAAGCGCTCATCAAGCAGGCCGACAGCTTCTCCGGGCGGAAAGTCCCTGAGGCAGTCAAACGTTCTTTTCCAATGAAAGGTACGTTTTCTCTACGGCACGGGTGCTTCATAGTTAGCGAACAGAACCAGGGTACAACTTAATGAAGCTGTACATCACAGTTATTTCATCAAAGATGTGAGCACATGAAATTTTCAGAAATACCGTTCTGGTTTGTGCTTATGTAGAAACTGAATTTTTGTAGTTGTGTTATCTGCTTTCAAATCCCCGTTAAAATTAACCCAGTGTGCTGAGGTTTTTGTCGCACTCGCTCGCAATTGATCAAAAGTACATTTGTGGGCCAGAAACAAACATAATTTTGTTCAAATCCAGGCACCATTTTGTTCGGTACCGGCGAAGACTGGCATGCCTTGCGTCGGTTTACAGTGGCTTCGATGCGGAACCTTGGCGTCGGTAAAAACAACATGGCACTCTGCATCAACGAGGAAGCTCGCATCTTATGTGACAGCTTCGAAAAACACGGAGGCAGGCCCTTCAACCCCCTAACTCTGGTAAAAAGTGTAAATGCCACCTAATATTAACACATGTGTTGGAAGGAATATGCTGTTAGCATTGTTAACAGCTGTAAGGGACGTCAACTTCAACAGTGGTTACTGTTTCAAAGGAAAAAAACTGATAAATCAATTTTTGTTGAACTTTTTGATAACCCAAAGGTTTCAAGCGCCATCTCCAATGTCATCTGCCAGATGTCCTTTGGTCACCGCTATGACTATGACAATGAGGCCTTTGTCCGCATACAAGACAACTTGAGGAAGAGGATGTCCTTCAGTCGGGCGTCATTAGTGAACTACTTCCCGTTCCTGTTTTACACGCCTGTTTTTAAGGAACTCAGGGAGCTTGATGAGGAACGGAGGAGAGATGTGCAAGTGGGTGTTAGAAAATTTCAAAATAGTAGATATCAGCAGGTCTAGGTATAGAACTGTTCGCCTTGTGAAAGAGGATGAACTACACCGTTTTCTTCTTAATTTTCAGGCCGTGGTTTATGAGCATCTAGCGACCTTTGACCCAAAACATTTCCGGGATATGATTGACCTATTCTTCAGTGAGGTCCAGCAAAAGAAGGATGGTACTAATTCCAAGTTCCCGTTCGTTGAGACGGATGTTGAACGGTTACTCCACGACTTATTCGGTGCTGGCACTGACACCTCAGCTAATATGATCATGTGGATGATCGTGGTCATGATGAAGTACCCGGATGTGCAGAAGAAGGTAGGCATGGCTTTAATTGAAAAAAAGAGGTGTGGCTAAGAAAAGTAGGAAGATGACCACACCCTAGTCAAGAAAATAGGCGCGAGCACATTTCTTATAACTTGCATCATCCACAGCGACGGGTTCCACTGAACTATTTTCCCGTTTCTCTTTCAAAACTTTTCAAATTCAGATGCAAGAGGAATTGGACCGTGTTGTTGGCTGCGGTCGGCAACCAAGCTGGTCTGATCGACCCAATCTCCCGTACTGCGACGCTGTTTTGTTGGAGCTTCTGAGGTACAGACCCACTGGTGCGCTCGCTGTGCCTCACAAGGCCGACGAGCACTCCAACCTCATGGGGTACAATATTCCTAAGGACACTATGGTGATGGTCAACATCTACGCCGCCCACCACGATCCATATTACTGGGAGGAGCCAGGTCAGTTCCGTCCAGAGAGGTTCCTATCTGCTAATGGGACGGAAGTCGTGAAGCCCACACATCCTTCATATCTTCCATTTGGAATAGGTAAGCTTTTTAACTGTTTGGTTTGTTGGGCGGCATCACAACCTTGACACAAATTGAAAAAAAAAATTGCGATTGCATAAATCTGCAGTTCGCAAACCCACCGCTGATAAATTCGACATTTAAGGTTGGGTTTCATAGCGTATTGGCAGCAAACGGTAAATTATAAAGAGAACGATAAAAGCCGATAACAGTACTACATGAAAATCTGTTTTGCAAGAGAAATCGAGATTGCATTTATCGATTTTACTTTGCTGTGTAATAGCCTCGTTTAACGTGTACGTGTAGGCCTATATTGCCTACCTCAGAACTCCGATGGACTTGATATCGTACCGCGACGTATCGACATCCTCCGAGCTGTCACGAGAGTTTTGCAAGAACAACTTACTGGACTGGTCAAAGTACAGTGGAGCTGTTGTTAATTTTCTTTTTCTTATCTTGTTACAGGTCGTCGAGTGTGTGCCGGCGAACACTTAGCTCGTATGGAGTTGTTTCTGTTTACAGTGAGTCTGTTACAACGATTCACTTTTACCGTGTCCGAAAGCAACCCATCACCGAGCATGGACGGCATATTCGGTATTACGCTCTCGCCCTGCCCCTTCCGTGTCTGTGCTTCGCCTCGGCATACCTAACTAACTTGTACTTGCAGACATTGCTAATTGAAAAAAAATACACGTAAATAAATAAATTGAGTGGGAGTCAATTGTTATCAATATTATTATTTTATAAATGACGACGATCTTTTACTGAGAACACATTTTACAACATAAGGTACACGACAGGCGTTTAAATGCCGTCTTGATTAACTCAGCGAATCTTCATAGATTTTGTTGGACAGTTTCCTTGTGGAAACGTTGTGCTGCCTGACATTCAAACCGCAAAAATACAGAATAAGCTACGCAGTTTTATTCTCTTAATTCTGTTAGCATCAAAAGATGAGTTGGAGGCTCTCTAACTTTGTCAGTTATGAGAAGAGACTTTATTAAATGTGTTACTATCTGTTTTACTGTGAAGAATATACAAATAAGAGCTAATAAAGTGTAAATGACATCAACTTTGTAACAAATTATTTAGTTTGTGTGAATCCTTTGACCCACTTGAAGTGATGCGTTTTAATTCTGGTAATGATGAAGGTGGAAAAATGTTACAATGCGTGTGGATATTTTATGGCTGAAAGTAGCCTACAGACTGAAAATTCTTGATGAAGAGGACAATTTTGGGCCATAAAAGTTTATGATCATAGATTCAAGGGGGAAAAACACATTCTGAAATCTGAAATTAATTGTGTCAATTCACTCCTCATCCCGCACCGTTAAAGTATTAGAGAGCCCTCTGTTGGCAGCATTTTTTATACACGGGAGCCAGCGAATGTAAAGAACGAGTGTCGAATGGAATGGTTTTCGTTGGTCTCCGATACCTCCTTATTGACGTGCGTTTTAACGTACACAATAAATTGACGCATTACTAATGCCTCATGACGATGACTTTGAGCAATCGAAATATATGGTAAGGCGTATTTAGGACTCGTCTTGGAAATAAGGAAGATCTTCAAAACCCGCCCGAAACCATGGCAAACGGAACACTAATTTATGGTTTAGTGTTCCTCTGTCTTGGTTTAATCACGTTACGGGAACTAACGCAAACAGAGGCAACGCCAAATGAACGGCCTGCAATGAAGCTTTCACAATTTACTGGCCCTACGCTGAAAATTCTTTACTGGTAAGTTCCCTCACATGTCATTTGCATATTTCCTTGGTTCATTGACGTGATGAAAAGTTCGCACTATCATTTCGTGTGTTATTGTTCATAATTATTGCTTTAAAGTGTATTTAATAGTCTGTATCTGATTCCAAGGCAAATGGAAGATAGATGAGCCCTACGTACATACATGACGTACCTCATATTTGAGGCCCAGGCCTAAACCCGTAAACAGCTGAGCTAGGGCCCGACGAATACTCCTCCGTCATATACTGGGCCCTGTCCCGATTCATGGGGATTTCTTTCGCAAAGTTTATATGGGATATCCGGGGGCATAACTAAACATCTGCTTGATTTTATGAGCTGAAATTGCACCGGTATGTTCACTACTTACGTGGTGTAAACCATCCGCTAGGTTGTTAATTTTAGAAAACTCGCCTTTTTCTCATTTGAGGAAAAAATATTGCCTTTTTTTCTGCTGCTCAACAAAATTAAGCGGATGTTTAGTTATGCCCCCAGATGTCCTCGATAAAGTTTTCGAAAGAAATCCCTATTAATCAGGACAGGGCCCAGTATATGACAGAGGAGTATTCGTTGGGCCCTGTCCATGGGTCTAGCCTAGGCCTAATGTTAAATTAAAGAAATGCCTGCTTATCTTCTACTCTTTTTTGAAAAACAGTCCAGACAATCATTTGGCAGACTGGATACTTTTAATTTGAGTAGTTCATTGCTGCTGAAATAAAGTTCAAATAATCATGACCATAGACATGTTGGGACCTACGGACAATGACGGATGACTCAATTTGTCCGATTGCAGTATTTCCTGAGGTTACCGGCAAGTGTTCGAAGAATACTCCCATCGACTTCGAACACGGTATCCGCAACTCAGTATCGAGGGAGAGAATTTTCCAGCTCATCCAGTTCGTCGTTACTTAGCCAGTGCTTTGGGCATTTTGAAAATTGGACTGATTATCCTTATTGTTAGTGGTAGCAACCCCTTCCCGGCCCTCAGTTTAGAAACCCCAGGATTTTGGAATTGGGCCATCGAAAATAAAGTAAGTCTTTCTTGTTTTCTTCATTCTTTGTGTTGAATCACCTCTCATTTAGTTTTTGGTCATCTGAAATTCTGTTTAGCTGATAAGAAAGCCATTAAAGTGTTTGCGGCTTAACTCTAGCTACATGTATATATCCTCTGTTAGATTTTTTCTCCCAGACGTAAAGGCAGAAAATATTACGTACATATACATACATATACATTGCTAGCACTTAAAGATAACCATTGGAGAACCTAGTACTTCACAAAACGCAATCATATTGTGACTTCAACTTAAAAATATAATCAACAAACCACAAAGTTTTGTTCTAATTCAGGATGGTACATGTAATATTTGTTTTCCCTTTGAAAACTGCATCATCAAAAATTGTTACATTGTGTAGCAAGATGCAATGTACATAATGGCTTTGTAATTACCTTGTACCCTCATTTTTATCAATACGTTTCCATAAGTAGTCAGAGTTTAATAAGACAATCAGCAGTTATTAACATTAGGGATTACAAAAAAGACCTCGTTAGTATGCAGATCACTATGCATGCCTACAGGTACCCTCATTTTTCCGGAACTTTTCTGGAACCTTATGAACAAAATTCTTTCTTTCTGTCCGGCCTTAAATTGCCTCCAAATCCAAAATGTTACCACAAGCTTTCAGTTAGTTTTTAACATTGAACATGCTGCTTCACGTCATTCTGACATTAAGGGTGAATCCAGGCTCAAATGAAGCAAGGATGTTTTCTGAACACATGCTTTTTACTGTGGTCACTAAATACCTATTCAGCTGCTGATTTTTTTTTTATGCGTTTGCAGGTTTATTCCTGTTTGATGTTATTCTTCATCAGTAATGCCATAGAAACACAACTTCTTTCCACTGGTGCTTTTGAAATTTCACTTAATGGTAGGTGTTGCTTTATAAGCTGAAAGAAAAATGTTGCATAAATTTACTATTGATGGTTACCAGTGGTATACACCACATCTTTAAAAGATTGTTTAAACAGCACAGAGGTAGAATATAGTTTGATGTGAAGCTGCTTGTTTGTGAATAGAGAAGTTTGAATATTTGTTTCATAGTGTTGCTTGTTTGTCTTCTCAACTGATATATTTACCACTATCTTGCTACTATGGCCAACTCTAGTCTCTGTGGAGAGAGGGTGGCATTACATGTGTTTGTAACGGACAAAAACACTCATGATCGTGCAGTTCAGTCATGAGACTTCTTCTTTTTTTTACAGACATGCCAGTTTGGTCCAAGTTAGAGTCTGGTAAAGTCCCTCGCTACCAGGAGTTGGTGAACATCCTTGAAAGCAACATGAAACTCAGCTATCAGCTCTAACATCCACTGCAGTATTGAAATAAAAGGTACTCACGGGGTCTTTGACATGTTACGTGTCAAAGCTCTTGAGAATGGATAGGATGGATTGAAGCTCACATGACCAATGGCATCGTTTTGTATACTTGAGGAATATTGGTTTGCCAATTGGCTGTTACGATACTAGTTTGGCCTCAGGAGCATGTGTAAAGTTTGTTTCTTGTTTATCTTTTATATTTCTGTTCCAGATGACATTTCCTACTTCAGTTGAGTGGGAACCATTTTCTACCCATCCTCAGCGAGCTTATGAAGGTCAGAACACAAACCAGTTCCTTTCTGGATGTTCTGACTGGAAACTCCTACCTCGTCTGACCATGGGAGAAACTGGACAATCCACAGAACTGACCAGGACACCCCTCCCCTTCGAGAAAAAATGGACACTGTCATTTTTGGAAATATTTGAACATTATTTATAAGTAAAGCATCTTTGTCTTTTTTAAAGTCAGGTTACGATGTATTGAGGATGTTATACATGTAGTGATGTGTTTGATTGTCTGCACTTTTTGATTTGATTTATTGAAAATAAAAATTGAAAGTGGATTCCATGTATCTGCTTTCTGAACAAAGGCCCTATAATCTTCATTCCAACACTTTTAATAAGCTATACATGTATTGACTTGGTCTTTTGACGTTTCAGTTGTCTGTGACCTTGTGCACTGCTTTTGGAGTTTAGGTTGATCAATTTCTTCGTTGTATTGAGAGATACTAAGGTTCAGATTTTGGGGGAAGTCTATTTGAAATCACGAAATGTTTGCGGTTATATTCCCTTGAGTTGAAATGTGTATAACCTTTGTGACTTTGCAGTGGAGTATTTGATTTGACGTCACAGAAACATGGGCCGAGTTTGGGCGGCTTGCGCTAGTATGTTCATGAACAGCTCTATTTTCTTGTTCGTGGGTTGGCTGCTCAAATGTTGGAATGTACAACTGGTTATCGCTGGTAGTTAGTTGCAAATAGCGTCCATGTACATCATTCAAGGGTTAATGTTCGGTTAACTGGGCTCAACTCTTCTGTTAAAGGAAGAACATTCATTTGTGTCCTTGAAAATTATTAACCCCAACAATTCCTGAAGCCTCCAATTTTAATATGATTTGCATACACCCTAGGGAGTTGGGGTTAATGTGACTTTTGCAAAACTCCCCATTGTCTCTGGTTCTGTAAACCATCTTGTTAGTTTTTGCAGCTGTTTAGTGTTCAAAGTTTGTCCGTGTGTTGTGTGTAAATCCCTGATAAGGAGGTGGTGTGTAATCCTGTTCTGACTGTGTTCTTGGGTCGTGTTCCCACCGTTAGTGCGCGAGAACAAGAAACCTTGGGAAGAGCAGGCCGTCCAAACTCGACCATGTTTTAACATTTCAATTTGTATTTGCATTTGACAGGTGTTTTAGGAGGTTGGTAGATGGTCTGTGAATCAATTAAAATTCATTAAGTATTGGTATTATTTTGATGTCAAAACAATAAGTCCACTTTAACATCATGCTTCATCTAACCATTGTAGCAGCAAAGGTAAACATGCATCCACCAAATGATTTATGACAAAGAATCTAGCCCCAAGACAATAAGTTTTAATGGATTATTTAGATTCTACTACAGTGAGTTAAGATAAAATTCCGTTTGTTTCACACACAAAATATTTAATTAATAGGAAAACAGTTACCACTATGAAAGATCCATTTGACAGTGCATCACTTAGATATTGAATTGGAAATCTCAATACATGTATAAATTTCAACAAAATTGTTTTTTGAACAGATTACATTGTAGTGGACAAAGTTATCTCAGAAGCTAGGATCATCTAATGGCATATTCATATTGGGTGTTACTGGTCTAGATTGTTTCTTTTCCAGAGCCTATGCCCCATCTCATCTTGGGAAGGCAGACCTATCCCTAATAAAACTAGTATCTGGAACTGACGTTTTCAAAAAGTTTAACTGTAATTGGACAACTCGTGTATTTCACACAGGTCTGGTTCTACATACAAAATTGTGATGCATGTACATGTATACAAAATGCAACTCTGCATGCTTCATGGCATATGTTATCGGACTGATTCGACACTTAACAATTGTTGACCGTCCCCCCATACCTGATATGCTTCGGGGACAGGAACGAGTCTGTTTTATGAGCGCAATCAATGAGCAAAGTCCCTGGTAGCCTATGCACAAAACGTATCGTGGGCACCACGCAAAACTGACTAAAGGAGCTGCAACGGGCAAGTTTGAGTGACAACTATAGTTCACTATAGACAGACTAACGTCTGACGTCTAGTTGACCATTAAGGGCCAGGTTCAGGGGTATGGTCACACTGCTGGTTACCAATAACGTATTTCATTTATCATTACAGAGAGAACCATTCACATGAAAATAATTGTACGCGAATTCAGTAACCTTGTACGCTTTGAGAATCGCAGCCTACGCTGAAATGTAACAATGAGATTTTAAAAAACCACAATTTAAGAAAAAACACCTTCTTTTACAACACTGTTTTCCTAACAAAAGTCATGCAACCAAAATATTGTGATGTGATACGATACGAGACAATGTTACATTCAAATGTGTGAATACATCAAGATATCATTTTTTTTATTCATATTTAGTATAGTTACGTGTATGTGAGTTTTTTTCATGCACCTTTTAACACAAATCATAGAATCCAGATACAGTAGCTTATTGAGAGTAAAAAAAAGTGCCACACACCTATGGTTGCTATGACAACAGCCACAAGTGATCCAACCAGAAGATAAAGCCAAGAGTTCTACTTTGTTAATCCAGGCTAGTAGTGATAGCCAACAAACAGTCCTGCACATTTCTTAGGAACAAGTGTGTTTGGCCATCTCCTTTTTGCACCAACTTTATTTTTTTAACATTTCCTTTACATGTAGATTGAAATCTGGCTGAAGTTCGTTCAGCTCACCGAAGTATCGATAGAATAGAACCCTGGGAATTTCCAATAGTTTGTGTTCTAATTGTCCTAAAAAAAATCATACAAAAAGAAAGCAAGAAAATATCCCTTTCTTGTACAAAGGAATTGTTTGCCCATCAGTCATTTTCACTTGTAGGACCTCTGAAATTACAAAAACTAAAGTTGTGAAATATATGGACAATTTTCACATCAGTTATGCACATAGGGAAGGCTTACACTTGTGAAAAATTTACAAAGATATACAACGAAGTTACACATTTCAGTTGAATATTTTGTGTTAAGGTGGTTAAAGCATTTCAAACCAGTCTCCATTGATTTCATAACGTAGCCCAGGGACAGCACCCTCTGCAGGTAGAAATGAAATTCTTTCCAGACGACTTAAGCTTTTGCCTCTTTCTCGGCATTCAACTGCTGGACGACACTCAGCCAAATATTTTGAGGGAGTGAGACCATAGGATTGGAAATCCTTTAAAATAAAAGTGAAACAAAAATTGTATAAAGTGTTGGGTCACAAACTAATCACATTCAAAAACACTTAACTCTGAGAGTTTGGGGATTTTTCTTTTGCATACCTTACTCTGTGACTATGGATCTTAGTTCAATTCAACTTACCTTGATGTGGTAGGCTTGTCTTCTTCCTGACTCATTTCATCATCACTTGGTTCACTACTGGGATCAAAGGTCACACTGGGTACATAGAGCTCCAGATATTCAGGCGATAACTCGCCTTCAGAAGTTAGTGCAAAATGAAGTTTGTCTGGAGAGCAAGGCAAATATGTCAAATAAGATGTGATGTTAAAAACTTTGCCTCTGCACAAGCATAATCATGATGCAAGAATTACATCTTTTTCCTCCTTGTTCTGCGTCAGATGTGGATTCTTTCTACATCTATGAGATGAATTACGAGATGGTGCCTAGGGTCACCATGGTTAACACTGACTCACCATAATTGATGTCTCCAAGTATCTTGGCAGCATTGAAGCACATCTCGGCGGTCCAAAATGCGGGAATAGAGGGATATAAATGCTGTGAATCTTTCGCACTGTGCATTCCTAAACGCTGTAAAAGCTCTTGAAAATGAAGATCATTCATGGCCAACTCGTCTGCTTGAGAAAAGGCAAAGAGCGGCACTGACTTCATCTGAACTGTGGGTAGAAAGAGAAATGCAAAAATGGACTCTGTTGAAAGCTTAGAGAAAAAAAAATGCAAATGACATATCAGAATTGTCTGTCACATTTGATTTATGTATTCACTTTAGCATTTACAAATATTAAATATCAAAATTATTAGAAGAAAACTTCACAGCTGAAAAGCAAGGCTTTTGTGGCAAGTATGTACAGTAAGATTTATTACAACTTACTGTGATTCAACCAAACTACTGGTTCCACGATTTCTGTCTTGGGGCCAACTGGAGATCAAAAACACAAAAAAGTAGAAAGATACTAAAACACAACATCAAAGAATATGACCATAGTCAAGGTACTACAAAACAGAGTGTGGTTCAAGGCTCAAACGGTCCGAAAACCACTTACCCAGCTTGGCATAGCATGTTTCCAGGAGCAGCTTCTGAAGACCACGGATTTGAGGTTTGTAACCTACAAATAAAAACAACTGCACCACTGAAATGTTGTGGTAGATACCTGTAATTACACCGTACACGTATCCCATATTGTCATGCTTAGGACATGCTCCTCCTTCTTGAGGTATATGGGTTCTAAACACTGCAATCTATCTTGAAGAGGTATTTCAAAAATGGCCAACCCAGCTCAATTCATTAAGACACCTGCCTGGTGTATGAAGCCATTATAATTATCAAGATGAAGGACACCTCTTAGCCATAAGGTCCTATTTTCCACAGCGCTCTGACAACAGATATTTGCTAAACATAGAAAATACTCGCTGAATAGAACAGGTTACTAACCAAAATTCTATGCACTGTATAAAGCTTGTAAGTGGCTCCCTGCTTATTTTGTGCTTAGTGCAAGCATTTGCTAAGCGACCGGGCCCTGATCTGACCTTTAATGGTGAGTGCTCGGAGGCAAGTGTTGATGTTGTCTTTGATGTGCTTAGTCTCTGCTGTCTCATCTTCGCTACTACTGCTAAGAATCGTGGGTAGGCTCAACCCAGTCTCTGTAGTAAGTGACTTCTGTGGAGGTGAAAGTAAAGTTCAGAAAACACATATTAAAATCAGAGAAGACATTCCAAACTGGACTTTTGGGGAGAAAAACCACAACTCTTGATTCTTAATCACTTGCCTCTGGGGTTCCCGGTACCTGGTACCTTGGGTTTGTATGCATAGATGGGAGTACCTGAAATTGGACAAAGGAGCTGAGCCTTGTAGCAAAAGACCATACTTGGAACAAAAGACTGAGCTGCTGGGAATTGCCATCATTTTTCAGTTGGCATCAGCGGAGGTCATCCGTCATTATTTTGAAACAGTATACCACTGTTTGTGGCATTTAGTGCCCGCAGATTTTCAGCAGGGACAAAATTGCTCCAGCACTCCAGTGATGAGTGATACAGTACCGCTGAACGCTAATCTGGCCGCATTTGAAACGACACCACTGCCATTCAGCAATGCACTGGGCCAATTTTGGGAACAAAGGAAATTACGCAACACCCCACAATCTGGGCTCTTTTTACTGGGCGGCAGGCCTGGTTGCAATACTCAAGGCATCAATGGAGGTGCCTGTCAGACTAGAGTAGCCACCAGAAAGTCATTCGTGTGGATGTAAACATCCAGTAAATGAAGTTATGAATTTTGGGAGAATTTTGGAAACGGAAAATCTTGAAAATCACCCGGAAACTTGTCTCGCATATGCAAATTCCACCCGACAGGAAGTGCTTAAGACAGTTCCTTCAGAAGAGATCGCCAAGTAAAAATGGAAATAGCGTCACTACTTAAACGAAGCAAAGAAAGGAAGATGCTCCAGGTTGTTTAAGTTTACCATTTCATTTTCTTACCTTGAAAGGAGAACACTCATTTTCTGACGCATCTTCAACTTCCTTGTGTTTCCTGTAGAGAAAAACAGGAAGACAGGTTCAGTTTGATCTGTTGATTGACTGATTAGTTAATTTCTCAGCAAATCTGTTTACAAGAAGAATGACTTACAGGTAAAAGGAATAATTGGCTCATTGATAATTGATCAATGATCTACAAATGATCAAAACAGAGATACCTCTTTTTGCTGGGTGTCTCAGTGATGTGTTCCATCAGAATATCCGGATTGTTGATGCTGTGTTTTGCAAACACTGCTACGATGTGATCCATGAAATCCCAGGAACTCTGACAAAAAAAACATTCAAAGTCCCTCTCATCTGCTGTCCACTTCAAACAGTTACAAGGCTCAAAAGCCTGCTAATGTCCACTCTCTACAGTCATCTGATTCACCTTACAATTCGTTCCAATTTGCTAGTATACCTCCTGGCTAGTCAGACTATCTTGGGGCAACATTTTCGGAACTATTTGTAATTTCATCACCACTAAATGTCAACAACTCAAGTGTCACAGTGACAGCTCCTGCCATTGTGAATTTACAGTATCCTGCTCACTTATGGGCAAATATATTTGAGGTAGACAATTGATAAACTAGTAACTTCACGTCATTGTCATTGTCACTGTCATTGTCAATAGGGTCAGCTACCTGAGAGATGCAATCCTCAGCTCCATGCTCCCACAGATCAGCAAAGGTGTCCAATATGGGTAGCTGATAGACGAGTTTATGATTCTGTAGGTCGATAGCCGTGTGATACATTAGGGTGAATGCAGCCTCATTCTCTTCTTTAGTGTTACTGCTGAACTTAATCAGTAATTCATTGTATGTCAGAAGAACCTGGCGACTTGCCAACCTTCAGGGGAGGAGGATAGACAGAAGAACCTTTGAGAATAGTTGTCACAAAACATTGAATTTCACTCATGACTGTCAAGTGATAACATCTATTGAAACACTGCACGTTAATTTTTCTTGTTTCTGATGGGCACATCTCAGAATATTCTAGTCTTGAGAAAGGAGTACATAAAACAGAAGCATGTTTTACTTTGAGGAGAAACATTCAGGCTTTGATGTTCTTTTCAATGCTTCTAGTTAACCGTGCAGACAATGAAGCACTTGATTGGATTTCAGAAGGTCTCTGGTTTCAGTCCTGTCATTGTCAAAGTTTGTTAACCTTCCTTTGCTGAAGTCACTCTTTGGGTGAGTTGGTAAGCCACACAAAGATGCACAGTTGTGTCCTATTGTGCACTGCACCAACTGTCCCTCACAGGTATATCAGATTGCACTGCTGTGCTCCCCAAAAACTGTGCCTCAGTTTCTTGTGCGTAATTGTGCAGTAAACCACCTGCAGTGAAGAGGACTGCACAAAAGAGCCTGTGTCATTTTGTGCTGGCAACCAACTGTGTACACACTAAATCTGTAGATCATGGTGTTCCATATTTACGCAAAAGAGTGACTCTTGGCATTCGTGCATATTTGTACTGTTAAACCATCAAAGGGTTATAGTAAAAAGAGGAGTATATTGATCAAACACTTACTGCTTGACATGTTCCTCGCAACTGAACTTCTCTCTTTGCTCAATGGTGTAAGCTTGCTTGCTGGTAATAATGCGAAGCAATTCATCATTACCAACGACAAGTGCCCTCAAGTACTGGATGGACTCATTCTTTGGTCGGAACTTCCGTAGGAGCAGTAGATAAAGCTTACGCAGGCCCTCTAATTGACACAAGCATTCTAGGCAAGAGTCCAGAATAAATTCAATGAAGATAACATTTCAAAATTCTTACCCGCTGACTATAGGACAGGGCCATCCGACCGATAAATAATAACAGAGACTTGGGTTGAGTGAATAATGGAGGGGGTGTTGCTCCACTGAAACCACATAGCCTTGGGAGTAAGGCAACATAAAGGCATTTATCAGTTAGAATTGGCCACTTGAGAAAACTTCACCTGATAGCCAACCGATTATAAATGTATTGGTCGGACCGAATTTTGAAACGGTGCCTAAGGAACAAGCAAGAAGGACGAGGAAACAAATTTGTGAGCAACATGTAAATCTAATAAAATCTTTCTAAATCACAAATGGCCCGTAAATTGGCTTGTGTTGGCCACTCAATGGCCAGTGAGAGTGGCAACATGCAGCATACTTACTGATAAAGTTGTTCAGGCTTTCTGTCTCTGCTTGCAGTCCTTCCTCCATAAATCGCCGAGTCATTGACAGAATCTGTCTCAGACTGGCGACCAAGAGATACAATCTGAAAAGAAAGGAAAAGAAGTCTTCTTAAAAAGAAAGAAGACTGGAATCAAGACCTTATCTGAATGGTTGGCCATGCACAAATAGGCAATGATGTGGAAAAAAGGTCTGGTCACTGATTATGGTACAATTTTCATGTTGCATTTAAACTTGTAAAAATATGAATCCCAACAGAAAATTTGAATGCAGCACCGATAATGTCTTATCTCAAAACAAAATTGTCACTGTGAAGAGGTGTTGCGAATGAGAATGGGCCTACCTCCTGAAGAGAATGTTGGATTTACTGTCTGCAGTGGCGTCATTAGCAGCGAGGGTGAAACTCTCCCATGTGTTCAGGGTAACATACATCAGGTACGTGACCACCATGCTGGACAAGTTATACCTGCCAATGAAATAAAAGAGAAATTACATGTCATGTGGATAGTTGTTTTGCAAAATAAGTGACCAAAACGTTATATTAATGACCTACAATTTTTAATACAAAGAAATGTTTACCTGACATCACTGTAACTGATGCAAGGCAAGGATGAGAAGGGAAGAAAGTAGGATATACACCACAAGACATAACAGTCATTCATGCACTTCAGCAGGTTATCCTGGAAGGAAATCAATTATTGGATCTGAATCAATCTACCAACCAATCAAAATCAATCATACAAAACTGAAACATCTACACCTACCAGTGTACAAAATGGTAAAAAATACACTGTTATGGATTGACTAACACATCATTAAAAAATAAGATTTTATTACTTATCTCAAGGATACATACTTAAAACTGATTAAAAATAGTAATCAATCTTCTATCGATGACAGTTATTTCGATGTTTATTCAATGTTTATTCCTTTCCATACATTTAATCTTCAATGCTTACCTGTGATAACAGAATGCATCGGTTTAAACCATGCTGACAAAATTTGACTGCAAATTGACATAGCTGGTTTCTGAAATGAAGAAAGAAATGATTGCCAAAAATTTCTGAAAAAAAAATAAGAGATAAGTAGCCTCTTTCTGTGTGCAGATGTAATGAAATGAATGTATTGATCTTGAACTCCAACCAATTGTCATCATGTAATTCCTTTGTTATCTCCTTGCTACAAGGAAAGATCTAAACAGGAACTAGTTTGAATTTTCCACGATATCTTTTGAGGATGATTTTCACTGGCTCGCCTTGTGGCCTAACCTGAGTAATTCTTTCCTGCTAGGAGTTCCATCCATGGATATAGCGCTACTGAAGGATGACCCTGTCTCGGATGACCCTGTCTCAGATGATCCAGTAAAGGATGATGAACTATTGTCTGAAGTCCTACTGAACGTTGATCCATTGCCAGACGTCCTGCTGCAAGTGTCGTCCTGTTTTGAGAAAGCAATCACTTTTTACATTAAACTACTCTTATTTAGAGGTATGAAACTATGACCGTGACTTAATTCATTGTAATAAAGTTTTAATCAATGAAATACACTGCCTGGAGTGAGAGCCAAGTCTCTGATCACAGGACTCAGCAAGCTCTACCAAGTGGCAAATCCTGTCCCGTGTTGTTAATGTCAATGTACATGTCACACATTGGTATCCCAGGCAAATTATTACCCCACAAGAAGCTTCCTAATCCCTGTTTCATAGTTTTGGAAATTTTGCTAGATCTAGGGAATGCTGGCCGGGAAGTCAAAACTTCAAGAGTTATAGCTGCATCTAAAATGATATCATTTTGTCACATCTTAGACTACATGTATCAGTGGTTAAGTTTGTTTTTAATACTGTATTAATTGGAAAGCGTTTTTGATTGTATTTTATAAAAATGGCACTTTGGAAATGAAATAAAAGCAAGTGTTTATATGTTGACCAATGACCCATCTCCTCACATAAGTGCAGATGGGGCCTTATCTGCAAAAGTAACAAACTCTAAAGAGAAAAGTTTTTTGTCGTTGTAGGACAAGACAATGATTGGCAGCCGTACCTCCTCTGATGCTTGACTCTCTGGACTTCCTCGAGGTCCTTCTCTTGGTCTGGACAGGTATTCCTTGAGCTTCTTAGAAGATTTCTTCTCACTCGCAGCTTCTGTTGTACCAGATGGTGGAGATCCATCCACACTGTGTGGTGATTCCTTGCCACTTCCTGAACCGACCGAGGCCGTATCACTGAGGTTGAAGGATGTTGGTGAGTCTCTCAAGGAATACTCGTCAGTCAGGAAATCCCTCGGAGAGGGAGATAGACTCACTGAAGAATCAATTCCACTGCTACAACTACTGGTTTCTGACCTCTGACCTTTTACCTCATCACTACTGTCTTGGCTTGTACTAGGTGAATTGCTGGGTTTAACTGTCCCTCTGTTATCATCAGCAGCCTTTTCATTTGAACTCTCCTCAACTGAAGAGTTAGAAGTGGTCTTGGAATCACTGCTAAATTCCTCCTGCCCACGCAAACCAGAATCACTACCTGAATCGCTACTACTGGACGCACTGGGAATATTTGCAGTGTCAATATACAAAGGGAAGGAGCTTTGTTTTGCAAGGGGCAAGCTAGACTCCCTCAATGTCTTCCAAGGAGATCTGACTTCAACTTCATCTTTCCCAGTTGATGTCTTCTCTGGGTTTTTAGCTCCTGGCTGTTTGTCTTGAGGCATGGCAGCAAACAGAGTTCCTTTTTCAAAGAGGTTGGCGGCTCGCTTGACCAAATCTTGAGACATCTGATGCAAAAAAGAGAAAACAAAATAATCTATACTTTCTCATTGCCCTGTCTTTTTTGCTTACATTATGTTTTGGAAATTTACTTTTCTATAGTGAGAGTTTTGCCCTATACTGATGCATACTTATAAAACTGCATACTCAGTGTTAAAATCTATAATGCTGTATCCTCGGATGTAAAAATCACATATTATGAAGACGGATGTATTTTTGACCAAAAAACCCCCAGATCTATTCATAAACATATCCTTACTGCGAGGCTAGCAAAGGCAGGGAGAGTTCTTTCATGAAACAAAGGCTGGTAAAACCTTTTGTAGAGTCAGATAGATAAGCTTTGCTGATATCATCTAACCCCACCTGAATAAATGCAATCCATCGCTTAGAAGGTTCTAATTGAAGACCATTCTATAACCATTAGGGTGACTTACCTGATCACGGAACATGAGTCGGATAACTTGTACCATAGCCGAAATCCAAATCTCCTACGGGAAAAGAGAAGGAATGAATTCAACATTAATCTGTTTCTTAATGAATAAATAACAGCTGGATAATCCTTCACCGCAAAAATGTTATTGTGTAATGTGTAACAAGAGAGGAACTGACGTGTAAAGTGGTTAACGGTAAGATACCTAATACTTTCTTCTTCTCACATCTCTGGTGTTTCTGGGTTCCAATCCAACGGATACATCACCCGGCTTGGGCTAGTAAAGTTTGACAGACAGGTCTTCCACACAGTGAGCTGGGCAAAGTTTTCTCCGACACCAACATCTTGCATTTCATTTGCCCTCTCTCAAAGATAATTGGCATCACTGAATAGTGACTGAGGCATCCCAGTAGAGGAACCCAATGCTTTTGCTAAGAAATGTAAGTAATTGCTACAAAATCTGCTTACCGCTTCCTCCCTGCTTAGCATGCTGAGGATGATGTCTCCTATATTGTTCTTTAGCATGTGCCTGTAATGAAATGCACATATAAGATGAAGACAACATCTTCTGAAAAAGTAGGTCTGCAAAATCAACGTGGATGAAGATGGGAGATTATCTACGGTTACATCCACAGCCAGGTCTGCTAAATCAATGTGGATGAAGATGGGAAATTATCTACGGTTACATCCACAGCCAATAGTTTTTCACACACTCTGCTGAATATCCTATTCTAGTTTTTACTTGATATGGGAAGGACTATTAACTAGGACTATTAACTAGGACTATTCACTAGGACTATTAACTAGGACT